TCCGATGGAGAAGGAATGGATTGACGAGCTCAAGGGCATGGGAATCTCCAAAGGAAGACTCCACAATAGCGATGGATGGTGCTTTCCCGTGGCTGTAAGAGCAACCTCAGCACACTCGTCGGACGGTGGAGGTTATGACGTTACCATCAACATCGACCACATTGGATCGAGAATGACCAACGACATGGCCCTATCCATGGTGACTGCATTTCACGCTACCAATCTTGGAGCGCTGACTTCAATCATGCGACGGGGGCTAGTGCCAGGAGGTCTCGGTACATCGGGAAGGGATTCTATCCACTTCACATGTTTTCCGCCATGGGCCTGGGAGCAGGGCTACAAGGGAAAACCTTGGCTGGGTCGTAAGGTCGCATTGAGTGATCGCCCAGTGGTTCTCTACATTCCGGTGTCGAAGCTGCAGGAGTACGGGCTTCTCATCTCAGCGACTGGATCTCTATTGGTTGAGGACGTTGTTCCCTTCGATGAGGTTAAGGGGGCATGGTTGCAATGCGACAATGCAGAACCCGGACAGCCTGAGGAAATCGAATGGATCAGGTTACTCAATAGAGAACCCGACCCTGGAAGCTACCTTGTTCTGGAGTCCAAATACGGAAACCCGATCATGACTCCACGCTACTAAAAGCTTGAGAGTTTGGCGATTGAGGTCCAGGATGATACTTACTCCGAGGACGACGCCAAAATCACAAAGCTGCTGAGCATGGTCGAGGAGAGCGGTGTCTACCCAGAGTACGATAGCACCGAATGGCAGGAAATCTTTGAGGAGATCGTGTACCGCCGAGCAATGAAAGACTATGACTCAAGACCGTGCCCTAACTGTCTTGGCGAAGTCGATGTGCGATTGACGATATGTCCGCACTGCGTAGTGGTTTTGATCGCGAATGGGAAGCTCACGCATGTGGTACCCAAGGAGACAAGGGACCGCAATCAACGATCACCTCCGAGAGACGTACCAGCCAGTTCTTCCGGTGAAGCAACTTCTTCTGCAGGCGCAAACATCGATGAAGTCATCAAGAATGCACGCAAGACAGCCGAAGAAGTCATTGACGTCGAGGAGTCCGAAGGTGAGGAAGACGAGGAAGTTCCTATCATCTTGAAGGAACGACCGGACGAAGCCGAAGGCGAACCCGAATATCGGGAGGTCCCTCAAGATGGATACGGGAATGAACTTCCACAGCCTTTCCCCTTCGCAATTGACGAATTGCCGCAAGAAGCTGCGATCCCCATCGACCACAACTTTGCAGTCACACAGCAATTTGATCTGAGGTTGATGAAGTTGATCAAGAGCTTGGCCAACGCAACGTTCGACATCAATTGCTTTGAGAGTCGTGAAGACGTACTGCGAAAGTTCGACGATGGACAGCGGCATGATACTCCATTCAATAGATGGCCATTAGTACCGAATGATCCGGATACCGGGTTTCCGAGACGCCTTCAGAGAGCCGAAGTCGTAGGCATGAGCAAATGGACCAACGACACGTATGCAACAGAAGCGTGGCAGATCTATGAGTTCCATGCCCACGTTATTCATCCGATGATGATCACTGCAATCCGCTGCGGGCTTAGCCACAAGTACCTCAAAGAGGTCGGAAGCACTCGGCGTAACATGAGTGATCCGAAGGCTCAAAGATCTGAGACCCAGGAAGAGATCATCGAGAAACTGGCATTCATCTCAAATTTCATCAGGCGCTTGATTAGGAAGACTTTCGGAGCGAGCCGATATAGTTACTACCAGAAACCAGACGATGAAGGTGCCGCTCCATACAAATTCATCGACATTAGCCCCGCCATCAAGTCGGAGCGGAAGAATGTCACAAAGGAGATCCTCGTCGCATGCCGCTACTACGGCATAGAGGTATCCGATACTCAAACGCAGAAGTTGAAGTCCTTCGAGGAGCAGATCCGGAGGGGAAACCCAAGGAACGTTGAGCTCATCAAGGACTACATTGGCTTTGTCGGAGCTGACTACATGCGACAACTCACGAATGGTTGAGCATCGGGGTCATACCGACATACTACTTCCGGTACTTCAAGTACTGAGGGATCTTGGGTAATTCATGATGACCATTTTGGCATCATGGGAGTGAAATAGGATTGTGTTTCACACCGTCGGTAATCGCAGGATACCATAGGTAGATGCACGTTTTCCGTTTGTAGCTCCGTTACCTGTTTGATCCAACTTTCAAGCGAATGCAAGATCGTTTGCTAATTCAGATCAATAGGACATACTGGTTGACCTCCAATGCACTTTTGAGAACATGATTCGTTCTCCGGTTTTTACATCCACTCATCTCCCTTCCCCGTCGAAGCACGGATGTGGGGGGTGTCAATAGGGATGAGGTCTCAGTATAGTCGCTATACAGGTACATGCCATATACTTTTGGCTCAAGTGCCCAACCAGGTAAAAAGGAGCTTTAGCGCGCGAGCTTCATGTTAAACTAAGGGCTAGAACGGGGCCAGGGGCACGCTTTTCATCCGTTCGCATGAATGATGACTTAACAATGTTCATATCCAATTCACCGCCTCCTGTGTTGAAGGTTTGTGTTAGTGTGTGATACATAGGAAAGACCAGTTTTAGTGACTCACCGTCCAACAAATGTTTTACTATGTTGTTATTAACAGTGTTGTCTAAAGTCATTACTTCAGCTCTGATAATAACATTGTTTAATTCCCACTGTGTAGAAGTGTTAGCTGCTTGAAAGTAATACCCCTGTTTGTCAGTTTGAGTGTTCGGGCTTCCTACTGCGCCTCCTTGTGGTTCTACAATAGGTACCAATTCATCATTAACAATTGCGAATTCTAATTCCAAAGGCGCATACCTCAAAGGTAAATAATAATTTGATTGCATCAACCCACAAACAGGCTTATGGCTGAATCGGGCTTTACCATTAGCGCCGGAAATTCTTGTCAATGAGTGTCTTGTATACTGTATATTTTATCTATTCTACCCCATTCATTTTTATCACCGTCAGGGGATACAGTTACTACACCGGGGGTTGGAGTAACACCAGCAGTAGTAGCCTGCAATAATACATCCAAACCATTACTGTAGCATAGTCATGAAAGTCAGCGTCCCATCTTGGGTTAGCTGACATCTCTATGTCATCCATGTCTCTAACATACAACTCACAGTGTCTATTGTATTCAACAATATTTCGATCCATTTGACCTCCTACTATTGCTCTGTATCGTTGAATAAAGGCATGTAAGCCTCCTAATGGACGTAAGAAATGGTGTCTTGTTCGATCGTTATTTTGCAAAGTTGCAAACAACCTTACTGAACTCAAATCCAAATAGGTATTATCCTCTCCTGAAATGTAAAACCTAATGTTTTTCGCCCCCGCATTCGCATTAAATACGTTTGTGGTGCTACTAAAATAGTTTACAAATCGCCTGTTTGTAACATATTGTGAAGTTTCAGGTAATCCAAAGTTCAGGTAATCCAGGTCACCAGCTTAAAAACAGACATCAAACGAAGCGGTATCCATTTAGGAGAAAGGATTTCTATGTTTTTTTCCTTCAGGGAGAGCTTTGGTAAGGATGAGTCTGGTTCTATGTTGTCCTTTTTATCCAGGTTCTTTTACAAAACTTGTGGTTTTTTACTTTAACATTTCAAGGTAAAAAAATCACAAGTTTGCGTCTGTATGTACTTTTTGATGATGCATGGTTTAAAAAAATATGAAGCATTGTTTTGCTTTGTGTGTGTCATGGTTTCGTGCAAATTACTTTTTTGTGAGGTCGATTTGCTTTGCTGGTCGTTTGTGGGAGTCTTATGGTTTTGCATGAAAAGTATGCTAAGGAGCCCTGGCGGCACATTGGTCTAAAAGTTCCCCACCACGGGGCCCCCCCCCCCCCCCCCCCCCCCCCCGGGTTCAACCCCCCCCTCGGACGCCTCTGGGACACCTCTCGGGCATCTCTTATGGCATCCACTTTGGCTTAACTCCTCCGGGATACGGTGCAACAGATTCAACAAGCTCACATGTTCATGACATCGACATCGATAGAAGAAACCAAACAAATCATGCAAGCAGCTTTGTTTTGCCTCTGGGACACCTCTTGGGCACCTCTTATGGCATCCACACTGGTTCAACTCCTCCGTGGAGGTTTTGGGATACGGTGCGACAGATTCAACAAGCTCACAGGTTCGTGAACACATCGGATGCATCGAACAGTGTGGCAAAGTCCAGCCACGCTTCCTTAATTATCGGGGACTTCAATTCTAAGGTTGGCTGTGTCATTGCTGTTTGTGTGTCTTACATGTTCACAACGTTTTACCTCATGAGCATTTGCCTCACTCCGCTTGATGTCCCACCAGTCCGGATGCACCCCTGCTAGCTTTCGTCACCTACCCTCGGCCTCAAGTATACATGTTCAGCATGTTATTGTTTCTGAACATTTTTCGAAAGAATGTTCTTCTACATACTTTTTCCTTCCACGCTCCCAGGCCATCCGTCGTTTGGTTTGTTTTTAGACCGCCGGGGGTAGGCCGAAGTAGCTAGTAGAAGAGGTAGCTGCCAGCTATTGGCCCATAAGTAAGCTTCTAGTAACTGGACGCAGGATAGCTCACGCTTCTTCAAGGAAGCTCCCCCTGCCTAAAGCTCCTAGATTTTGAATTAAACAAAGCAAAACTTAACTTTTCAACTCCTTTTGGCAAGTTGCTACAAGGACACCACGGCAATCTTTCATACCAAAACAAGATGAAGGGCGCATGGAACCCTTACACCTTTCATCATTCATCCTTTAGAGCTTTCTGTTTATTGGTATTTTTTGTTGTTTTAGCCCCGTTTCGTTGATTTTAGCCCAGCGGATGGAGACACCTGCATTGCTTCTCCATCGAAGCCGGCAATACATGGGCTTGGAGCCACGAAACTTGAACTGAATTTGGTGGTTGGACCCCGCCGACGTTATTTCTTTTTTGCAAGGCCTTGGTCATGCTTACTAAAGTCAATTGTGGTCAAGCAGCATGTGCAAGCTTCAGTCAGGTGGAATTTCTGGACATTGTGAAGAATTTGAGGTCCAGGTTGGGCAACGTTGTGGCTGTGCTTTGGCCCAATCAGACACGCGCCGCCCGTTCGGGGCTGCCAAACGTGACGACCGTGACGCCCCGTAGAGCGATGAGACAGTCGATCTGTCCATTCGTTTGTATCAGCTTCTTGCTACTAGTGGTAATGGGCCTCCAACTCAGTAGCTTCTTGCCCCTAGTAGCGATGCACTTGTTACTGGTAGCTTCTTGTGAGTTGTCGAACTTAAACAATCTTCTTCCTCTCCGTTTTTTACGGCCGTTTAGAGCACATTGGTAACCCGAAAGGTTTGCTTTCTTGCTGTGCTGCCGTTTGCTCTCTCCTTCGTGTCACTCTTCCTTCTTCCTCGACGTGTCGCCTTGGCGCCCGGCACCTCGCTCCGTCCGATCGCGCTCGCTTCACGGTGGAGTAGGACCGGTGCCATCGGGCTGTTTCGCATGTGGACGTCATTGGATCGTTCTTTGTGTGGCATTTAGGCACACTGAGCCGCCAGGCGACCCAAAGAAGTCCATGTTGCAACATGTTGGACAAAGCCGGACGCCGTGCGTCAAAACATTTCGTAGGGCTAAAGTCTGAGATGCGGATGCGGCAAACGGGTGCAGAAATCGACTTCCCTAGAGTATTCACCCCCCAACGCCCAAAAGGAACCTGAATATATCATCTTTCTTTAAATCCTAAAGACAACTTGACAAATAACGCGTATATATAATTATATATATATATATTACTTATATATATATATTGTTTTTTTGTTCCGAGGCCGGGAGACCGATGCTGAAGCGCTCCATGAGTGGCGTCAGTGAAGACCGCGATGAGGTCGCCGTGGCCACGGTGGCCGTGATGTCCACGTCGTGAAGAGGGAGGAGGAAAAGGACGAAAAAAATGAACAAAACAAAACACATGGTGTAAAACATCATTTGTTGTTTAAAAAAAGAGATATATATTTTATTTTTAAACAACTCATGAGTTTTTTTAATTTCGAGTTTCTAATATATCTTTAATCGTTGACATATAAGTGGGAATAATGCATTTTCTCAGCAAATGCGAAGAAAATAAGTGCGTAACTCTCCTTGGGAAAAGCAGAGCGAGGTCGAACCTTGATCCAACTCCCGGGTTCATCCCGGGTGTGTTCGAACAGAAAAGAACAACGCTCGTGAAACACGGCGTTCGTTTGTCGTCGAACATGGTGACGGCAAACCTACAAGAAATAGAATCAAAAAAGAAGATGTGTTTATTCCATTTCGGTTTATGGTTTCGTTTGCTGTCCATCTCGAAGCTGCAAAGCAGCCGTCAGCGCACGCGGTCCCGAAGTGACGTCCGACAACAAAATGCATCGCAACCAGTTCGACACAGTGACACCGTTTCCGTTTTTGTGTCCTTTGCGGTTTGGAACCGACGGACCGCAGTCTTTTCGGGGTTTCACATCCGAACGAAGGGAAGAGCGGCAAAAAAATGAAGCGAACCTGGAATGCGACAGAAGGCATTTTCAGAAAGCAGAGCGGTGTGACAGCCTTTTTGTGTTTCGCTGCAACCTGAGTTGCAGAAGACTTTCAAGAAGCCTGCGAACGCTGCAGTAACAGAAGGAAACGGAGAAAAAATGACAAAGAGGAAATGACAAACTTGCCCACAAGTGCTGCCAAAGATACGATTGCAGGTTTAAGACTACAACCCACGAACCCTATTTTGTGACCAGCTTCAGCTTCCTGTGAAGAATTTTGGGTGAGGACTATTTGTTCCAATCGCCAGTTCAGAAGACAGAGTTTTCCGGGCTGCCTTTGCCTGGCAACTCCTTAGTTCCACATTTGTCTCCCAGTTTGGGCTGCGTTCGCCTTCTGGCTATTGCCCCAATGGCTTTTGTGTCGTTGCAACTTCTCTCTAAACATTTCTAATAGCATCCTTGTTCCTAGTAGCGGTGCCCGCTCCTAGTAGCGTCCTTGCTCCTAGTAAGGCCAGGAGCCCCTAGTAGCGCTAGTCGTGTGTCCGCCTCCGTAGCAAACTTGGTGTTTCCCAGCGCCACTGTGCCCGTCTTCGATGCCTTCCAGTCATTTTTCGACTTACGGTGTAATTCTTGTTTCTTTTTTGTTTTTGTTTTTATTTCTTGTTTCATCTATTTTCTTTTGTTTTTTACGATGTAATTCTCGGTCCAACGGTGTCGAAACTGATCCGACTCTTCGAGTGCCACAGCCCGACGGACCGGCAGCTGGCTCCCGCATGACCTGTGAGTGCCAGCGCCAGCGAAGTTCTTTCAACTTGGTAAGATGGACACCGAAGGTAGGTTCTCAACGCTGGCCCTTCACAATTGGTACCAAAACTTAAGTTGAGCTGGTTCCTTAAGAGGGTCAAGGTAGGTAGAAAGAGCACCCACTCGACCTGTATGCTGCATGATTTCACGTGTGAAGCCACACCGTCCCGACAAACCGGAACGAGAGAACAGCCGTCGGGTCACCACGACCCCCCGTGTTCTCCGCGCGCCTCGACAATCGGTGAACGCGCTGTTTTGACGACGACAAGCATCGACAAGCTCAAAGACGATCATCTGCTCTTCTTTGAACTTTTAAAACGCCTTGTCGAATTCTTCTTTTGAACTTTCTTGTGTTCAATCTCAGTGTCGCCTGTTGAGAAATCACAAGACCACACCGTCACGAGATGTGTCACAAGACATCCATTTGAATGATTTGAATGTGGTGCCAAGGATCTGACCGCAGCTGTTGTTTTGGAGGCTCATGTCGTGATGTTTGCGCAAGGGGGCCCGGGCGGCCCGGGCCCCTTCTCGGGTTCATCCGGTTTCTCTGGGCTCGGATCTCGGGAAAGATCGCTGGCCGTTTCAGCTTGGCGGGTCAGTTTCGCCGTTTCAGGTCCTGTCAGTCTCGGATAGCATTGAGCTACGCAGCTACGCTTTATGCTGTAGAACCGTCACAGGTGTTTCTGTCTTCGTTCACTCCAGCCATGTCATTATGTGCCACTACCCGACTACCCTTGCATTGTGCCGCCTTACTCTGAAGTGAGAACATGATCCACTCCAGTCCTTAGTCACGAAGATGATGTGCGCATATCAAGAAGTGTGCCAATAACCCTTCGAGCGTAACAGAATTTCCACAGTTCACCCAATTACGTCACCATTCACATCGGCTTAGTTCGCCCGCTCGAAATGAGTAAAGTGTGACAGAAGTGTCACCTGTCAAGTCACAGCCATCGCTCCCAACCAGACAGCCAGTTCGGCCTGAAATAGTAAATCGACGCGCGCTAAGTCAGTTGCACGGCTTTCGGCTGACTTGAAAGCGGAAATTGCAGTTGCATGGGTCGTTTTCTTTTTTTCCTCCCGTTCTCTTCACCAAAAAAGCGCTTGGTTGGTCTCAGGTCCGGGCCGAGTGGGCAATCGTTCCATCGACCGCCTGCCCTGGGCCGCTTGAATCAAGAAAACTGGGACGCTGCTATTACTAGTAACAAAGAAGCTATTAGTAACAAGTGCATCGTTACTAGTAACTAGTAGAAGCTACGAAGCTACTAGGAGCAGTCAGGGCATCACTGCGAACGGAGCAAGGACGCGAACGGGGCTCCTGGCCTTACAACAAGGACGCTACTAGGAACATCGACCCCGAGCCCCATGAGAAAACCGTTTTTTTTTCCTGATTCTTTCGATGACAAAGCCGTGAAACGACGACGGACGACGTTGTGGACGACCTGGACTGGGTCAATGGGGCACCAGAGGTACAGTTCTCACGGGCACTGTGAAAAGCTACAGTGCAAAAGGCTTTGGCTTTATTTTATGCCACGCCCTCAGTGAAATTGACCTGATTTTGCAACGCAACAAATGTTCTGAATATTTTCTTTGAGGCAACGACGTGGATCACGATGTGTATTTTGCCCGCGAAAGCTTGCAAGATGGCTTGAGGAGCTGCAAGAAGCTACTAGGGGCTCCTGGCCTTACTACTAGTAAACAAGGACGCTACAAGTAGTTCCCGGGCAAGCCGGCGGTGGAAGTTTCCTATAAGAAGAAATTGACCTATAGGAGTGTCCACGTTCTCTCCAACATGCGCGTCCTCCAGTCAAACGCACGCACTAGAAAGTCGCCAGTTCTCACCATCCAGCTCCACAGATACTCCGCGTAGTAAAGTTGTACTACAATGTCGCCAGTTCTCAGCTTCCAGCTCTACAGATTGCTCCGCGTACTAAAGTTGTACTAGAAAGTCGCCAGTTCTCAGCTTCCAGCTCTACACATGGCTCCGCGTACTAGAGTTGTACTAGAAAGTCGCCAGTTCTCAGCTTCCAGCTCTACAGATACTCCGCGTACTAAAGTTGTACTACAAAGTCGCCAGTTCTCATCGTCCAGCTCGCCAGATACTCCGTGTACTAAAGTTGTACTACGAAGTCGCCAGTTCTCAGCTTCTAGCTGCACAGATTGCTCCGCGTACTGAAGTTACTAAAGTTGTACTACAAAGTCGCCAGTTCTCAGGTTTGAGCTCCCCAGATGCTGTGCCTGCCACGAAATGTGCACATGGAGGTTCATAAAGTGCTGTGCCTGCCACGAAATCTGCACATGGAGGTTCACAAAGCGCTGTGCCTGCCACGAAATCTGCACCTGGAGGTTCACAAAGTGCTGCACCTGCCACGAAATCTGCACATGGAGGTTCACAAAGTGCTGCGCTTGCCACGACATCTGTACATGGAGGTTCACAAAGTGCTGTGCCTGCCACGAAATCTGCACATGGAGGTTCACAAAGTGCTGCACCTGCCACGAAATCTGCACATGGAGGTTCACAAAGTGCTGCACCTGCCACGAAATCTGCACATGGAGGTTCGCAAAGTGCTGTGCCTGCCGCGAAATCTGCACATGGAGGTTCACAAAGTGCTGCACCTGCCACGAAATCTGCGCATGGAGGTTCACAAAGTGTTGTGCCTGCCACGAAATCTGCACATGCAGGTTCACAAAGTGCTGTGCCTGCCACGAAATCTGCACTTCAAGAAACAAGCGAAAACTCTAATCCCAATGGATGGACGATTCCGACCATGACCCGAGACCGTCTCGCAACCGTCGTTCCGCAGACCTTGACTTGCCAGCTTCGGAGCCACCGGTTCCATTGAAAAATACAGCATTTCGTGCTGCGCCTGCCACGAAATCTGCACATGGAGGTGCACAAAGTGCTGTGCCTGCCACGAAATCTGCACATGGAGGTTCCCAAAGTGCTGCACCTGCCACGAAATCTGCACATGGAGGTTCGCAAAGTGCTGCGCGTGCCACGACATCTGCGCATGGAGGTTCACAAAGTGCTGCACCTGCCACGAAATCTGCGCATGGAGGTTCACAAAGTGCTGCACCTGCGACGAAATCTGCACATGGAGGTTCGCAAAGTGTTGTGCCTGCCACGAAATCTGCACATGGAGGTTCACAAAGTGCTGTGCCTGCCACGAAATCTGCACTTCAAGAAACAAGTGAAAACTCTAATCCCAATGGACGTACGATTCCGACCATGACCCGAGACCGTCTCGCAACCGTCGTTCCGCAGACCTTGACTTGCCAGCTTCGGAGCCACCGGTTCCATTGAAAAATACAGCATTTCGTGCGTTCGCTACCTCTCCACAACGCATTTTGTGTTGCGCCTGCCACGAAATCTGCACATGGAGGTGCACAAAGTGCTGTGCCTGCCACGAAATCTGCACATGGAGGTTCACAAAGTGCTGCACCTGCCACAAAATCTGCACATGGAGGTTCGCAAAGTGCTGTGCCTGCCACGAAATCTGCACATGGAGGTTCACAAAGTGCTGCACCTGCCACGAAATCTGCACCTGGACCTGGAGTTGCCTGGAGCTAACTGGAGCTAGAGCTATTGAAACTAAGAGCTTATTGGAGCTAGAGCTATTGACACTGGAGCCAACTGGAGGTAGAGCAAACTGGATGATAAGTAGTGTATGATGAGTGGT